CGCCCGCACCAATCAACAGCCGGCTCGCAGCCCGCCACAACCAATCCCTCCGCGGGCTGCCCCTGAGCGACGGGCTGCTGCGTGCTGATACCCAATTACCCGGATGGGATTCTAGGCCCGGCCCACCATATCAGCCAATAGGACCCAGGGACAGCAGACACTGGTAATGAAACGTGCAGCTGCTGAGAATTAAACAGCCAATTAGAGGCTTCACAGAGTCCTCCCGGCCCACCTCTAGGCCAATTACCGCGAAGGCGTCCACCCCCTAATCTCTGGGGGAAAATCTGCGCCCCCGGGCTGGGACCAAGGTGCGAGGGGCTTGAGCACTCCTGCGTGTCACGGTTCGCACAAAATTCGTGCTTTTGTACAATGCCAGTGCCGCCCCACAGCCCAGTGACCACTGGGGAAGAAGGCTCATCGTGGACCATGCTCCGACACTTGTTTCCTCTGCGATCTTTTGCCTCGTTTGGTCCCCATCCCGTCACAAGGACTCCGGGGGCATGGAAAACATTTTTTTTTCGGGGGGGGGGGAGAACATAAAATAGGCTTCGTGGAGATGGAGACAAGATCAAGGTGAAGTAACTGCGCGGCAGAGAGCGAGAGCCCGTTCTGTTCCTCTGTCGAGGAATGAACAGACGGTGAGGACCGACACGCAGCAGGGCAGATGGAGTGGGACCGGAGTTCCGAGCGCCCCGTGGTAAGAGAGCTGCGGGCCCGCCTTTCCCTGGGGATTGAAGTAAAACGCGGGCGCTGAGGCACAGGCCGGGGGCGGGGGCGTTTCTGTGGGAGGCAAGGAAGAGGGCGGGTTTCTGCAGGCGACGGTTTGCTTTGGAAGAGTACATTCCAGCTGCTGCCCGGGTCCCGGGCCGTTAGGGACGTTTGGGGCCTGCTACCGCCTCTGCGCGCCGGGGAGGCTTGCGAGCGGGTCCCTGCGCCTCTCCTCACCGTCACCCACCGCCCCGCACTAGGGGCTCACCCTGGGGAGCAGGGGCTGGGTGCTCCTTGTAAGGCGGAGATCCTTCGTGCTAGCTTCTGTCACAACGCCGGGCTCATGTTAAGTAAGCACTCATGTGAATGTTTGTTGAATGAACGCAAGATGGTATCTGGTTAAGTAAGGCGATTCCTTTGGGACTCAGTTTTTCGTTTCGTATTAATTTTTAAAATATATATGTTTTTTGAATAAGTAACACATGCACATTCTACAAAACGCAAAAGGGGTAAAAGGTTATTACAGTGAATAATAAGTCTTCTCTGCCTCAGAAGCAACCAATATTACCAGATTCTCCTGATGTTTCACAAGATATATCACAAGATATAGTAAAACATGCATATTATACTCATATTTTTTTACCCAGTTGATAAACTATTTTACATACTATTTTGCAATTACCTTTTTATATAGTCCAGAAGTCTCCCATAGCAGTACATATGTATCAGCCTCAGTAAGTTTCATAGTAAGCCTGAGGGATATGTAGTAAGATACAGTCAACCATCCTTGAACATTATATTGATACCCAAGTATATTTCATTTGGCTCTGCATATCTGTATAACAAAAACTTAGGACAGCAAATACTAGGTCAGAGAAGTGTGTGTGTTGTTTTTTTTCATTTGGGTAGATGCAATTTTGCAAATTCCCTCCCTTCCACGAAGATTTCTTTCCCCATTTTCATTCCACCGGCAGTTTGAAAAGGATTTTGGCAAGTATAGTATTGCCAAATTGCTTTCCACAAAAGTGTTAGGAATTTTCTCTGGCTTCTTTTGTTCAACACTGGGAGATTCAGCCATTCTGTTGTGTGTAGTTTTAATCCATTCATTCTCATCAGTGCATAGTAATATATTGTGGGAATGTACCACAATTTACTTTTCAATGTACTATTAATGCTATTTTGATTGGAATCACATATTTTTAGATTACCTAAGAGAGAACCATTGTAGTTATAATATAGGATCTTCCTATATACATATTTAAGTCATGATGTCCCATCAGTAGCATTTTAAAGTTTTTGCATATAGAATTTACATATTTCTTAAGCTTATTCCTAGGTACTTGAGGGCCTTAATTGCTATAGCTATTTTTACCTTTAAAGAGGTAAAAGAGTAGTTCAGACCCAACGAAGAATGTCCACTGTTGCTATAAAAAGCACAGACCTACTTTATGGGCCCAACATCTTCCAGCTCCAATGGGAGGTGGTGGGCAAAAAAGAGGAAATGAAGTAGAAGTCCAAAAAGAGGGATTAAAAATGAAATCACAGGAGGAATTTCTTAATCAGAGCAGTAAAAAGCCAGGTGTAATCACTTTTCCTGGAAATTTTTGAAGGCGGGTTGACTTCTATTAGGTTGTCGGAAAAGTCATGAACGTATTTTTTTCTATGTTTTTCGTTGCAAAAATGCGTCATGACTACTTTTCCGACAACACAATAACTGATTGGGTAGGGAGGTTGGGGAGTAGAAGGGACAACTTTAAAGCTCAGAGCTGTCTGCTCAAAACCCAAATGCCTCCACCATACTGGTAGCTCTAGTCTAACCCCTCCCCCCAGGGCCTGTGTGCTGCAGAACCTGACCTGCGAGGAAGGTAAAATCCAGGGGTCACCTTCCACTCTGTTCGCTCTGAACAGCTCTTCTAGGGGGACTGCGGCCAGTTGGTTATTCCTCACCTTCCTTCGGTAACTCTCATGCACCTGATTCAGAAAGCTGAGGGTTGGTTGGCTTTTCAGTCCCTCTCCCAATGTCCTTGCTGCCTCTGCCCCAGGGACCGGCAGAGAGCAGCAGAAACTCTGAGGGATCAGACTGGACTGCCTGGCTACCAGCAACAGAGCCTCTTGTGATTCACAACGGAGGTTTTTCCTAGGTCCTTTCCTGGCTTCTACCCTCAGCAAGCTCTCAGGTTACAGAGAGGGTGCTCAGGAATTCCTAGCATGGCGGATAATCAGTGAGTTGTTTCAGGTTGGAGGAGAATTCGACTCTGCCCACTTCCTGCCTAGCCCCTGCTTGGCGGATCCTTCCGGAGGTCATCCCCGTCCACCCTCCCTCTACCCCTTCGCTCCTCCATTTCACACATGGCCTCACCTAAGCTGAGAGAGGTTTGGACCCAAAGATGCTCTGGCAGCCTTTCAGTACTACTCCCCGTGTTGGTCCCTGGCATATTCGAATATCACTATTTCCTTTGCTGTGCTGGATCCCTGATTCAAGGGAGAGGAAGAACCCTGCACAGCGATGGTCACCACCGTTTCCTGAGTCATGGAGCCCTCTGAGAACACCTGGTGCAAGCAGTGACCAAGGGTGTTCATACATTGCCCACAGTCATCCTGAAGCCATCATGGACTCCACGCAAAGCAGGTACAGAGCCTCTGCTGTGAGAAGCCTCAGGTGGCAGGGAAAGCTGAGAGCGCGGGCTGCCTGTGCTCCCCAGGGTCCACTAGAGGCAAGGAGAACAGGCTGAGAAGTGGCTGTTAGTACAGGTAAGAGCAGGTGGTAGGACGGGCCAGCATCCATCTCTCAGAAAGAGGCCGGCGACTTTTGCTCTAAGAAGTGAGTGTGCTGGTGATTCAGCCTGGAAAGCACTGCGATGAGAGGCTCCTGAGTCTTCTTCCTCCAAACCCCTCTGTAAGGGGAATTAAGCAGGGAGACTCTGAGTGGGTTGGGGGCAGCTGGAAAGACTGAGGAGAATGTCTCTCTCCTAAGACACCTGCCACAATCCATCGATCTGGTCTAACGACTCAAGAGTAGCACCAGGATAATTTCTGAGCCCAAGGCGTTTGCCCCCAGTTGCTGGTTTCTGGTGAAGAGCCTGGAGTGATGGAGGAGGAAGGGGTGATGCCTGTAACGGGCAAAGGGAGTGTGCAGTTTTCCCAAAACTCTGGTAGCTGAACGTCGTTTGAATGGATCGTTTGCATGTTGTCCAGGAAGGGGACTTGGTGGGCAGCCAGGGCTCTGGAACCAGGCTACTGTGTCTGAGAACCCCTCACTGCCCACCCCTCTAGCTAAAGTTGGCTTTTCTGCTTTGGTTTGTTGGGTGGAGAGCCCTGCCCACTGAAATCTTCGGGCAACCCAGGCTTTATGGTAACTGGTTCCACCTACTGTCTCCTGCACTCCATTTCAGAACACCCTCCAAGGAAAGAGAATGGACTCTTTGAACCTGGAAATGAGGATTAAAAAAATTACAGTTCACCCAATACCAGCCTCTCACAACTCAGCCTTTCAGTCCTGACTTGGGCTCTTCGAGGAGGAATGAGATGACAGATCTCAAATACACTTGAGAGTGAGCTTGGAGTTGCCTCACCTTCAAATGCAGCTCCCTCACTAACTGGCTCTGTGCACTTGAAGTTACTTCATCTATTCCACCTTTAGTTCCATCAGCTAAGATGCCCTGTCTTCTAGGATTGATGGATGTGAGGATTAAATAAGAAAACAAAGATAAAGCCGCGGATGTAGAATAGGTCCTCAGTAAATGTTATTTCTCTCCCCTGTCCACCTCTGTCCCACCCTGGGCAGAGCGCCATCGGGTTGCCCCAGCCATGTGGACCACAACATCCTGGCATGTGTGCACACACGCACCCACATGTGCCCTGGTGGCATTCACACACCTGTCAGCACACGCATGCACCTGAGCTAAGGGCAGCCTTCCCAGACAGGTGAGGTGAGGACTGGCTTACTAATGATGGCACATGCTCATCTGAGTGACCTTGCTACATTGTTGGGCTTCTCTTCTCGAAGGCATTCTGGAGAGGCTGTGTGAGGGGGGTAGGGGTGGCAGTGGGGTAACTCCACAGGCATTTCCCCGCTTGGATGGGCTTCCAGGGATATGTTACCCACCTCTGCCAAGGAGGCCCCATTGATGCCCAGAGCTGTAGTGTTTGGAGCTGAGCTGTCTAGTATGGCAGCCACTGGCCACATGTGGCTACCGGGCGCTGGAAAGATGGCTGGTGTGACTGAGGAGTGGAATTTTACATTCATTTAGTTTTAATCCATTTAAGGGTGGAAACCGGTTCTTGATTTAGTTGTTGGAAAACTTCTCATGTGTTTGCAACAGCTTGGATTGGTGAATCGACTTTTTCAACAGTGAATTTTCTGAAACCTAAATACAGAATAGATTCTTTCTGGAGGAAATCTGGTGATGGAATTGGAAAGGGCTGTAAGCGTAAAATGGACCCTGGACTTCAAAGACCTACTATGAAAAAGTAATGTGAATTAGTACTAATTTTTCTATTGATAACATGTTGAAATGATAATAGTTTGGGTATTGGATTACATAAAATACAGTATTTAAATGTATGTTCCTTTTTGCTTTTTTAATGTGATACAAGGACATTTGAACTTGCATATGTGACGCGTTCTATTTCCATGGGGCAGTGCTGTCCCGGAGACTTGCTCCGGACACAGGTCACCTGTGTTATCCATTCCCCACTGCCTCAGGGGCTCCCAGAGATTTCTCTGCACAGCAATGCGGCTTCCGCCCTTTTCTGCATTGCAGAGTGGGCAACTAGAGTGAGAACCGCTATCCCCTGACCCCCAATCCCAACCTAATAAGCTGCTGGTGGAGAATCTAGAGAGGAGGGAGAGGGCTATGCCCACCCTGGAGGCCTTTCTGGTGTCTTATAAACTGGAGAGGGGATGCTAAGAGAATTGTGTGTGCCTGGTGGGGGTAGGGTTGGAGGCTCAAGGATACCCATTTGTTAAAACTTGGACTCTCCAGCCCCACGCTCCACACTCAGGGTTTTCAGTCACCTCTGGCCCCACCCCTACCTTCCCACCTCTGCCCCACTGAGGAACTAGCCTGGCCGTGACCCAGCTATGTCCCCATGGTGCCGGCTCCTCTCACCTGTTAGGGTCAAAGTAATGAGTGGTCTCAGAGCAAGGACAAAAGCAGCAGGAATCAGCTAAGAAGCTCATGGTGCTTGCGCATCATTGGGTGAGGGGTGGGTCGGGCTCTTGAGGGTGGACGCTGTGCAGATGCTGCTGCAGAGAGTGGGGGGGGGGCTTCCCAGGGCCACGTGACTGTCCACCTCACAGTCATTTCTCCCTGCTCCTGTCCTCTCCCTTCACCCCTCCCCTTCCGGTGGTGCTGAGGCTGCTGCCCCTTGAGCTCACAGCATCCCTGCTTTTCTGGCTCCACTTTGCCCTCTGTCTGAAGCACACTCAGAGGCAGTCAGCACCTCCTCCCACTCCACCTCTGCATCAGAGGCCCCCCCGTCACAGTGACCTCTCTCCAGGGACAGCTTCCTACTGGGGCTGCACTCGGCACAGAACTGGGGGAGACTGCGGAAGGGAACTCGCTAGGCTGGTGTTCCTGCTGTTGCCTCTGCCCGCCCCCCTCCTCCCCGTTCCTCCGAGTCCTGCTGCGTTCCAGATCTCTCTCCTTTGATGACTGCAGATTCTTGCTTCTGTCAGTCATTTTACTAGGAGTTCCCTTTGTTCTTTCCCTCAAGGGCAGTAGGGACCTGTGGCACAGGAACGACAGTGAGGTCCCTCAAGAATGAGAACTGGGGTCCTGGGTTGGAATTTCTGCAGAGGGACCCCTGGAAGGCGGATGATCGCTCCTCCAGCCCCAGAGATGGAGAGTCTGGGGAAGCGGGCTGGGAATGCTGCTCTCTCCAGGCCTGGCTCGTTGCCTTTTGCATAAACCCCTGTCTGTTAGATTAAGGCAAGGAGGGCCACTGGGACGCATGCTCAGAGGGCAGGCAGGAAGCGGGGAGAGTTGACAGAAATAGGGGGCGGAAAAAGTCTGAAGTAAAGAAAACTCCAGAAATCGCGTTTAGTTGGGGCTGGAACCGCCATGGCCTTGGGCAGCAGGTTTAATAGAGTGACACACAGAGGCGGGTGGCGGAGGCTCATGGGGACACAGTGCCAGTGTGCGGTGTGGCCTCCCCCACCCCCTTCTTTGCCTGCGGTTTTGTGCCTGGGAAGGGGCCCGGGCAGAAAAGAGAAGGAGACCCCTGGTTGAGGAGCAGAGCCTCCAAGAAGCGCGTGGCACTCCCCCCTGCAATACTCTCGTAGCTGTGGTTGGCAATTGGCATTGGTAGTTAGAGGGTATCAGTGTGTGTAAAGAAAGCCTGGTGGGTTAGACTGGAGCCCTGGTTATGTTTCCTGCTTTGTGGTGGTGGGAGGGCTGGGCTGGCTCCCTGGGCCCCTCAGGGAAGAGATGGCAATGCCATCCTCACACTGCAAAAGCAAGAGGCAGACTGTCTGTCATTTTGGCATCATGAACTGTGGGCGCGGCGCAGGCAGGAGGCGTGGGAAACCTGTGCCGCTTGGGACCGCCTTAGGTCCAAGCAGCCTTATTTTCCTCCCCCTTTGGTATCTGAAGCTGACGTGGCTGGGTCCCTGCTGTGGAAGGAAAGGTCAAAAGAGCTTGGCAGTGACCCGGTTACCCCCGGAGCCCTTATCCCCAGAGGGCCGAGGGGCCACGAAGTCAAAGGTCACGTGATGCTTGACCCGGCCTTTGCCCTTGCTCCAGAGGGCAATGAGGCCAAAGCAGAGAGTCACCGAGATGAGGAAGGGCAGGAAGCCGACTGCCAGCACCATGGCCACGCCCCTGCTATCCAGGAAGAAAGGCCCCGGGATCCCTGGCATGGTGATGTTGGGGTCAAAGAGAGTGCCATTAGGGGGCTCAACTTGGATTACTTCCAGCCAGGTCCTCAGGGAGTCGTTCCCGGCAACGTTGCTGACCACACAGACGTAGGCGCCCCTGTCCCGCAGCTGCACTGAGCGGATCTCCAGCGTCCCGTCCTCGAGGACCCTCACTCTCCCGGCTCTTCCCAGCCAAGGCCCCTGTGGCCTCATCCAAGAGACGGTGGGGGTTGGGTCTCCATCCCCAGAGCAGGAGAAAGTGGCACGGCCCCCCTCCTCCGCGATGACCCATCGTGGCCCCGACTTGCGGATCAGGGCTGGTTGGCAGGTGAAGTGCCCTGGAGGTAGGATGTCTGAGAACTCCCTCAGGCTCTTGCCCTGGACATGCTGGGGGCCAGCGCAGGCGGGGGGTGACGTGCCGAAGTCCAGGCGGCGGCCCAGCCGCAGCAGCCAGAGGAGGCGGCAGTCACAGGTCAGGGGGTTGCCGGACAGCTTCAGGGTGACTAGTGTGTCTGGAGAAGGGAAGGCGGTTTCCTCCAGGGTCTGAAGGGCGTTATCTGCCACGTCCAGGAGGTGGAAGGCGGCCAAGCCGTGGAAGGCATGGGCGGCAATGGAAGTGAGGCAGGCCCCTGACAGGCGCAGCTCCTGGAGCCGCACCAGGGGACTGAGCCTGCGGGCAGGGATGGCTGAGATGGGGTTCTGGGACAGATCCAGGACCCTGAGGAAGCTCAGGTGGTACAGCGCCTGGAAGGGCACGGAGCTCAGGTTGCAGCGGGTGATGGCCAGGCTGCTGAGGTTGAGCCCCGCCAGGCTCCCTGGCTCCAGGGCCTCCAGAGCCGGCCAGTGGTGGATCTCCAGCTCCCTGAGCCGCCCCAGCCCCCGGAGCGCCCCGGTGGGCAGCCTCCCAATATCCAGCTCGCGAAGCCTCAGGGCCCCCAGCTCCGGGAGACGGGCCAGGGCCAGGCCCGGCACTGTGCTGAGGTTGCAGCGCTCCAGGGTGAGGGTGCTTAGCCGGGCCAGCCCTGCAAAGGCCCCCGGAGCCACGAACACCAGGTGGTTGTCCCCCACCTCCAGCTGCTGGAGGCTGCCCAGCTCTCCAAAAGCCCCGTCGAGGAAGAGCACGATGTGGTTGAGACGCAGGTCCAGCAGAGTGAGGGCAGGCAGGCCCGAGAAGACCCCCGGCCCCAGGATCCGCAGCCGGTTGCCCTGCAGCCTCAGGGTGAGCAGGCTCTGCAGGCCGTGGAAGGCGCCCGGTTCCAGGGCGGACAGCTGGTTGTAGCTGAGGTCCAGCTCCTGGAGCAGGCCCAGGCGGGACAGCATGCCCCGCTGCAGCCCCCACAGGCGGTTCCCACTCAGGTCCAGGAGCTCAGTGTCCAGTGGGAGCCCCCCAGGCACAGCCTCCAGCCGCCGGTGGGCGCAGAGCACTGCCCGGGGCTGGGAGGTACAGTCGCACAGAGGAGGGCATCCGCCACTGCTCCCCCCAGGCAGGAGGAGCAGGAAAAGGAGGGGGGGCCACGGGGGCCAGGCGTGCTTTGGAGTTGTGGCCTCAGCCATCCTCTCTTTAGTCCTGGAACAGATAGATGATGATATGGCCCTTTTGGGAAAGTGGCATCAGATGATGGTGACCCTGGACTTCCCTGGGCCTCCTCAGAGCAGAGACAGAGAGCTACCCACCTCAGCACTGCCAGCAAGTGGGGCGCAGAGCCAGGAGGAATTCAGGTGTGTGCCTCCCTGGGGCCTCCCCGGGCTTGTCTTTGGGGAACCTCTACTTTCCTCCCCTCTTGGCCAAGTGCCTCCTAGCTCATGGAACCCTAGTCAAGCCTGATTTCTGTGGGGAAGTTTTATGGGACTAGGACAGGAAGCAGCAGGAGGTATCTCGGAGCCCCCCTGTAATGGGTTTTTTCCTGTGTCCGTGGTGAGATCCAGGAATACATCAGGGCCCTTCTCCCTGAAATCTGCTCTCCCCAAGCTCTGCTCTGTCCTTCTCTGCCCACCCTTCTCGTCCCGTATTATCTACCCATAGCTTTGCTGGAGGCTGGGGGGCCGGGGTGGGGGCTGTCCAGGCTTGGATCCCGAGTGGGGAGAGGCCCCACCTTGAATTCGTCGCCCAAGGCTGGTTACCACGCAGACCTCAGCTCTGCTCCCCAGCCCCCACTTGCTGCCCCTCTGCCCTCGTCCAGCCCGGCCCAGGGGCCAAGGCCCTGGAGTGGCGAGATCCAGTCTTCCCAGAACGCCTGTGTGGACAACAGCCAGGCTGCACATTAGCTGTGACACAGGTCCCAGGGACACTTGAGCCCTTCACAAGAGCCCCAAGGGCAATGCCGCCCCCGACACATGAGCAGGGGGGTGGGGAGGTGGGGGGGTGGTTG